TTTTTTTTTTTTCAATGAGGTGCAATTCTTATGGATTGACATGTTTGAGTTTACAAAAAATCCATTTTTTTCAAGGTGCTTCTGTCATAGATGACAGAAGTTAATACGTTTTTAAAGAAGATTTTGAGAGTTTTTATGAGATCATCAGAAATGTGGACATGCTCTTTGGTGATTTACAGAAGGGATGAGATGCTGTTCAAAGAGAAATTCTCATTGTGACTAGTTAACAAAGTGGACCTGTACTGGCCTTTACTATGCTGGTGTGGTAGATCCCATCATGTACATGTGCAGAGGTCAGAAAAATATCAATATTTACCATACACAATAGAATGATGCCTGTAGGAGGAGAAATATTCAGTTTCTTTAGGCATTTTCTCATGGCTTGTGAAAGGGACTGGGCTGGATCCACTGCTTATATAACCTCAAGTTAATTTAATTGTTTCAAGCAGGGTTGTAATCAAGAATCCATGTGGCCCTTCATAACTGATTGTAATGAGGTACATTAATACAAAAAGGAAATGAGGCTCTCGATATTCTTGTTGCCTGAAATATGCTTTCAGCATAACTAGGCTGGAAAATACTGTGTTTAGTCAGTACCCAGTTTGCCTTTAGAGAAGATGGTGAGTAATAAAGATAAACTATTCCGGCTATAGAGACAAACTTGAGTTCAAAAGAACGTTTAAGTATGTGCTTAAATGCATTGCTGAACTGGGGTGGGTCTAATTATGTAATTAAAATAAGCACCTTCCTTTGTGCTTTAGCAAGCCTGGCCCAGAAACATTTTGCTGAATTGCAGTGTTTAATGCAGCTAAAAGTGAATATCACTTGGAAATCTCAAAAAAGTGATACAAATAGATGCCAGTAGATCCTGATTTTAACCTACAAGGGGTGCAGAAATTCAAAGAGTGGGTCTAGAATACATGCACATTTTTAGAAACCCTTAAATATTTAAGCCAGAAAGTGCTATGCCATAAAAGATGGAAAGAGACAGATTTTTCACGTAAGCACAGTCTTCCTGCATTGTCACTTCTGCTGAAAAATCCGTGGAAATAAAAATCCATCAAAATGGAAAAGTTTTATGAGGATCTTACCAAGGTGTTTGTAGTGGAGGGGAAAGAGGAAGAGGAGTCTAGCTTGGTGAGCGTGGTTTCTCAAAGCGGCTGGCTTCAAACCCAGGCAGATGGCTCTGCTGCCACGCGCAACGTGCCCGTGCGCCAGGAGTCTGCCCCCGAGCGCCCTGAGCGCAGCTGGAATATCCTCCCCGCTTTGGAACGGGCTTTGAAACAGGGCTGAGATGCTTATCTAACCTACCACGCTGCTCCTGCCCACCAGCGCTGCGGTTGTTGCTGATAAGGGGCAATCTGCGTAGAAAAAAGGAGCGTCATGATGAGTTCATTCCTGTTCTTTCCTCAGCCATTCGGTATGATGGGGTTGATGTGTTTGGATACACAGCGTGGTCCCTCCTGGATGGCTTCGAGTGGCACAGAGGATACAGCATCCGACGTGGGTTGTTTTATATTGACTTCCAAAGCCATGACAAGAAGCTGATGCCAAAATCTTCCGTCTTGTTCTATCAAAAGCTGATTGAGAAAAATGGCTTCCCACCTTTGCCTGAAAACCAGCCCATAGAAGGGGTCTTTCCCTGTGGCTTTGCTTGGGGAATAGTTGACAATTACATCCAGGTAAGTCTGTGGATAGAGCTGGCAGATCTCCAACCACATCGCTGCACAAGACCGTGCCAATGACTTTGCTGCACTGGGCAGTCTTGTTGGTAAGTGAGATATTATCAGAGTGCTATGAGGAGATGGGTACAAGGCTTTGGGGTCAAAGATTGTGTCTTTCTGTCTTTTCTAGTCATTTCTGTGTGACCAGTGAGAACCAGTCAGATTGAGGAATGATAAATAACGTAAAAACACAGCAATTAAAAGGGAATGGGTCTGGTGTTCATCTTCCTTGAACATTTATTATGTCATTGGTCACTAAAAGCCAGTTCTTTTCAAATCGAAGTTGATTAGATGTAATGCAGTATTTCTAAAGGGCCTAGGATATGATGTAGGAAATATTACTGTTTATTCATTTCCATAATTTTAATGGCAATATATTTGACTGCTGTGATATTATATGGTTTAGGAAATTTCCTGACACTGAAAGCTCTTAAAGTTTCCAGTGGGTATGTTTCTGCGTGCTGCATGTGTTTGTTCTGGCACCATTATTAGAGCAGTTTTGTGTAAAAAAAAGTAGGGAAGCTTAAAGTTAAATGTCATTTCTGTATTCCTTCCTTGCCATTTTGTTTAGCATCATATCTGTTTCTGAGGCTGCAGTACCCCTGGATAGTACTTAGCATGGACCCAGTTCACAATTCTCAGTCTTTTTACTTCAGTTAGTTAAATTTGATATTTCAGGGCAACCTTTCAAATTTTAAGGCTTCATAGCATGTGTAAAAATTGTAGCTTAGTTATGGTCTCTTTAACAGTTTGGTTCTGTAATTCTCAGATGTTGTTTTGGCTTACAAGGCTTCTCTAACCACAGTAAAGATGTGCAGTAAAATTCAGCTTTGAGGCTGGTCCAAGAACAGAATTTTTAATTTAGATTTTCCACAAAGGCAGAATATTTCTTAAGGCTAGAACATAGAGGCCTTGTTTGTTTTCTCTTACTCCAGAAGACCTGACTTCATTCTCCTGAAAAATAATGCAACCTCCCTACCTGGCATGTTGATTTCCAAAAAAATTTAACAGTCGTTGTCTTCCAACCTCCCAGATAAATTACAGATTGGAAATGAAATTGCTGCCTTTGGGATCAATAACTGCTGCAAACCTACTGTGTCAGTCAGCTCAAGACAGTTAAAAAAATCCCTCCCACTGCCAAAACCTTCAAAGCTGAATATTTTCATTTCAAAAGACCGTTCAAACATTTTGTGCTGTGAGGCTTAGGTAGCGTGATTTGTAGATGCATCACAGTGGAAAAACTCTTCTGACAGCATTCCCGCAGTATTAGTGGAAATGCATGCTTTAGTAATCTGCAAGGGACAATTCTCCAGAAAAGCAATTTTGCTCAGACATGCTGTTTTTTATTGCTTTCTTCTATAAGCACAGTACTGACCTCTCCAGAGAAAATAGCAACTGATTTTCAGCAGCTTCTTGATACAGACCTGCAGAGCCTGAGCTACAAGTTGAACACTGGTTGTAGGCTGACACCTGCTTTTCAAACAGAGGGCAGGACAAGGAAATCTGAACTCGTGGGCACCGTCCGCCATCACAATAATAAAAAGCACCCCCAAAACAAACAAAAAAATAGACAGGACCAGCAGACCAGCACCTTGTAGTTTGGATCTTTTTTTTTTTTTTGGTAAGAGTTATACTAGAGCATGAATAAGAAGGAAATTTTATGGTGTGTATTGTTTTAATTTCAATTTTTCTTATTCTGTTTTTGATATTTATTGAAAAACAAAGGTATAATTCTGAGGGACCCTGAGAAGGTCGTCTTCTATTCCGTCTTGTGGGTCCTACAAGTGCTTCCTACACCTGAAGCCCCAAAAGCTTTAGCCCTAAGAGGAATATATTTATTGTTGGAATGTCTTATAGCAGCATTACTCAGAAGTCAGAAAAAAAAAGGATTCAGAGATCAACAACCTGCTGAAATAATTTGAAAATGAGTTCAGTATGAGTTAAATAAATAAGAACTTTAGCAAGAAACAAGAGTTTTCCTCATCATATGAGTTCGTGCTAAAAATCAAGTGCAAAACATTACTCATCTTTAATCATAGTTAGGAAGATGAAAACTGAACACATAAATGATGTTGCATTTATTATTTCTGTTACTGCATTCAGGGAGTGAATGAAAAAGAACCCACTGGGCAATTTCCAACAGGCAATCTCTCTGTAGGCCTTTCAGTATAGCTTCTTAAACTTGAAAGAAGAATGTTTTAAAAATCACTGTAGTCTTTGCTGAAGATTGCCTCTCTGGAGATTGCAGGTTTAGTGCCTTGTCTCTCATTTCCACTACAGAATGGAGCAATCTGGAGAAAATATAAACACGATGACTGTTAGCACAAGCTTATGTGGAAAGTAGGATGAATATTATATAAACATATATTTAGTACTTTTCTGGTATCACATGCTAACTGAAGACTAATTCATTCTTATGAGTCAGACGTTATCGAATCAGAGATGTGACAGAGGTGCTAAATGCGATGTTCTCACTTGTGATCTTTCAGGAAATTGTGTCTGATGGTTACGATGTTCCTACACATCTAGAACTAATGGCTTGTATCTGATGTGTTTCTTGTTCCTTCTAGGTAGACACGACACCATCCCAGTTTCTTGACCCTAATGTTTATGTGTGGGACGTTCACCAGACGAAGCAGCTTATTAAAGTGGATGGAGTTTTTACCTCCAAACGCAAGCGGCACTGTGTTGACTTTGCTGCTATCAGGCTCCAGATCTCACTTCTGCAGGAAATGCATGTCACACACTTCCATTTTTCACTGAAGTGGTCTTCAATTCTTCCCTTAGGTAACCTTTCTGTCATCAACCACACGCTTGTACATTATTATCAGTGTTTCGTTAGTGAACTTCTCAGAGTTAATATAACTCCTGTTGTTGCCTTATGGCAACCTATGACTGAGAATCAAGAGCTTCCAGCTTCACTTGCCAAAGATGGAGCTTGGGAAAACTCAGAAACGGTTCAGGCCTTTGCTGAATATGCCAAGCTGTGCTTTACAAGTCTTGGGGACCATGTGAAAATTTGGATCACAATAAATGAACCCTCTGTGAAGAACTTGACATACACTGCAGGGCACAATCTGTTGAAAGCCCATGCAAAAGCATGGCATATTTACAACAAAGAATTCAGAAGATCTCAGAAAGGGAAAATATCTATAGCTCTGCAAGCTGACTGGATAGAACCAGCTTGTCCCTTTTCCAGAAAAGACCAAGAAGTTGCTGATAGAATTTTAGAATTTGACATTGGGTGGCTTGCAGAACCCATCTTTGGGAATGGTGATTACCCACACCTTATGAGAGAATGGCTTCAGCAAAGAAACAGTGTTGACCTATATAATTTCCACTTGCCTTACTTCTCAGAAGAAGAAAAGAAGTTAATCCAAGGCTCATTTGATTTTTTTGCCCTAAGTCACTACACTACTACTCTTGTGGGCTGGGAGAAAGAAGATGCTCTAAAATTTGACCACTATCTCGAAGTTCAGATGATCAATGACATCACATGGCTGCACTCTCCTGGGCGAGCTGCAGTGGTGCCCTGGGGATTACGTAAAATGCTCAAGTGGGTTAAATCAAAGTATGGAGATGTCCCAATATACGTCATGGCTAATGGAATTGATGATGGTCAGAATATGGTGCATGATAAGCTCCGAGTATATTACATACAGAATTACATCAATGAAGCTTTAAAAGGTAAGGAACTGTAAATGGTTTATTTGCCTCAAATCCCAGTGTTAGTATAGACTATGTGATAGAAGTACGCTTTTCTTAAAGAAAAAAAATCAAACTATAATACTCTGCAGATTAGATGTTGTTATTTTCATTTGGCTTATGGTCAATTGATGTTATTAAGCGTCAGGAAGACAGATTTTGCACATATTCTGCATAAAGCATCAGAAGAACTTTTTATGTTGGTTCAAGAGATTTAAATAGATGTTGTGTGAATAACTCCACATGTATTTAGTCAGTTTTTCTTCTTACTGCACTGTCGTTTAGCTGTGCTTCTTCCCACTCTGCTGAGATGCCCCAGGGTTCAGTGTGAGTTTTGTTTCTCAGCTCTCTGTATCTGATCCAAGTGTTCGTAATTATTCATCTATCTACCTCATTATGCCATTTCCTGAACTCCTTCCTGCTATTCAGAGCTCAAACTAGTCTTTCTTTCTGTCTTAAAGATTCATAAACTATAAGGCAAAAATAGGGTATTATGACATATTTTTTTTAGAAAATCACAAGTCCTAAAAGAGCAACTTTTACCAATGAAGAATCTCTCTGTAAGCTGGTGCAGTGGCTGAGCAACTACTATTAATTTATGTATGTGTATTATATATATGTATATATAAATCTTATTTCTAGCATTACCTTTTTAGCTTCAGCTTTAATCCGTTGTTTTGAGATGTGTTTCCATTTTTATTGCTTACATAGATATTCACAGACTGAAAACAAGGCACCTCTCAGTCTACTCTTCGATTAATAATGCCGAGAAAGGTCTGTGTGCCCCTTGCTGTAAACCTGATTTTGAAACTTTTGATTACTGAGCAGTTTGCCATCATTCCTCATGAAAGATATAAATCCTACGTCTGGCTGCACTGTTCCCATAGCAGCCATACTTATGCCCAAGGCAGATAAAAATCTCTTAGCCTTTTACTCCTGTTTCATACATCGAAGCAGCCTGCTAGCCCTTTTGCTCGTGGCAGAAGGTTGGTTGCCCTCTGTGGTTATCTATCTACTGCGAATCGAAGTTCTTGTGCAGATCCCTGCCCTCCTTGTGGAGCTCCTCTGAACTGATGCACGGCCTTCTTGTCCCTTGGCATCCTTAAATTTGGTACAAGTATTTGATACAAGTAAATACAGGTAGTTTGCGTGTGCCAAGCATGCTATACTAGCTGTGCTGTGTTATCTGCAGGCTTCGTGAGAAAAAAAGATGTTCTCTTTTTGTTTCAGGTCAGTGAAATATTTAAAATCATGAAGGATAGTGGTGCTAGGAGACAAGACCATAATAACAAAACACGGTGATCCTTTTTCATCTGCAATTACATTTCCAGACCTCTCAGTTTTAACTGAGACCAGTTGAAAACTATTTGTTATGAGCTGGCCTTGATCTCATAAGATAATATTCTATTTCTCTGCACCAGGTGCCTTATAATACCTAATAAACCACTGTATGAAGTTCTGAGCATATTATATCAAACATCATTACATTTATTCATCTACTGATCTCAGGAAAAAAATGTCAAATTAGCTTGACAAGAGTTATTTTCCGTAAAGATAAACTGATTGGCATTAAACATAAATGTCTACTGTAATTTTTATTTATCAAGCCTTATATTTCACTGTTTTACTAAAGAGTGAAGTATGGCTGACAGCTTCATAAATTCTTAGGTCATCCTATGCAATTTTTTAACTTTCTTCCCTGGAATTTCCTCTGCTCTCAATAGCTACTGAAAATCAGTATTAAGGCTCCAAGAGTTCTTCATCCTGCATTTTGGAGCTCTAGGTACAACTTTCTGGGTCTGTAGAGTTAAAAACATGCCTTGGATATATTTGGGACTGAGGTTTCTGTGTGGTCTTTTTGTAGTGCTTTCAATCCCCACGACCACTTTAGGCCGTATCAGTTCTTAGCACTTTGTTTTCCAAAGTGTATATGAATCTGAGCTTTGCTCCAAATTCCAAATAGCCCAACACCCTGTTTTTTAAAGAACATTCATTTTGCACAGATCTGGTGTTAGTATCACCAATCACTTTTCCTTTCTATCCATCCTGGAAGTGGTCACGAGTTTTTCAATTTAAGCACAGATTTTACTCTATCCACCTTTGGTGTGTTTAAGCACTGCAGGCAAACCAGATTTTACTCTATCCACCTTTGGTGTGAGTGAATACATGCCCGCTAACCAGCCCCAATACTTGCCCGAAAGGCCACTCCTGCATTTGGCATCCACAGGGCTTACTCGGCAGTAATGCCAGCTTTTTCACTCTTTCTTTTCTTCTCTCCTCCTGGTGCTGTGCTTTCTTCTATCCTGTGCTCCCACTGGTGCTCTTAGTCTTGGCATTATGACAGGTGCAGATTTCTCCAAAACTTGCTCTTTTTTTTTTCTTTTTCTGCAAGACTGGTGTACTAACCCACATGAATTTAAAAAATTCTGTCCTTATCTGAGTGCCATGGAGGAAATGTGAGGAGGGAATGGTAGACATGTGGTCTTGCCTTAGGTTTCATGTGCCTTTTTCCTCCAGCTGTTTCCTGGGACTGTATGTGGAAGTGTTTGGGTATATAGTATCACTCACCTGCCTTGTTCCAAGAGAGCCATTTATGCACATAAATGATTCCAGATTACAGCACAGGGTTCTTTGGGATGAGGCTGTACTTTTAAGTGTTTCGTACAGTGTTTAAGTACATCTTTGCCAATGGAAAACAAAGAACAGCAGTAACCATTTCTGCAACACCGTTACATCCACATGCAGTTTTACAAAGACAAAGTAATTATGCCTTGTAGCAGCTCTGTAAAAGGGCAGGTAAATATTAACTCATTTCACACATAGAAAGGTCAGAGGTGCTAAGTGCCTTTCACATGTCTGCAGAAAGAATTATTTTCACAGGGAATTTCACAGGAAAATTCAGCACTTTGTGCCTTTCAGTCATGTGTAAATATGATAGAAGATGTTGCTTTAATTTGTGCAGAGTAGTTAAAAAGTAGTGATTTTGGGGGATAAAGTATTGCATCTTGCCTTTATTACTGCAAACTGTTTGGTTTTGTCAAGGAAGACTGATGGTTCAGGGTTAATGCTGCTGCTGATAGACAAGTTAGCAGAATGGATTATGAACGTGTTCCCAGTAAGGAGTAACACAGCTCATCTTGGATCAGAAGCAGGCCAATAACCAGCGAAGCCTGTGATCTGCACGACCTTTCCCTGTGCATGAGCTCAGCCTTGGCACGTGTGCTTTCCTGATGTCAGTGCACATATGCTAGCCAGAAGCGCGGCCTCTTGGCCGCCTTCCTCAGCCTTCCCGCTCCGAAGATTCTCTGCAAGGGAGAAACAGGAATCAGAAAAACATAAACAAAGCTCAGAGTGTGCAGAAAAACCAAACTTACGCTCTTTTGTAAATTAGAAGAAAAAGCCATCACACGATAGGCTCTATGCTGATCATTAAACAGTCATACATTCATTATTTGTCTACAAAATAAATAAATTATAGAGTATAGGATCAAAAAACTTAGAAACGTTTGGCAACCTCTTACTTTTTAAGACAAACACTCCGTGAATGTACGCATACATTATCTTATCTTTGGGCAGAGAAGTGAGGATCTCCATTTGACATCTCCCTTGCTCTTGCTCTATGTACTGGCATATTACACTGCTCTTGAATGCCAAAATGGCTTTTATTCCTTTTTCAATACTTTGTTTTGTTTTTCAGCTTACACCTTGGATAATGTTAACATACAAGGATACTTTGTCTATTCTTTTAATGACAAGACTACTCCTAAGTATGGTCTCTACAGTTACTTTGCAAATCGGTATGAACCAAAGCCCTCTATGAAACATTACAGAGAAATAATTGATAATAATGGCTTTCCTAGACCTGAAACTGCAGTACTATGCCCTGAAGAGACTGTCTCATGTCCTGAATGCCACTTTTTCCGAACCAGAAAATCATTATTAGCCTTTGTTGCTTTCATATTCGTTGCTTTTATTGTTACTATATTCCTCATTAGTTACTATTCCAGGAGGGTAGGAAGATGATATAGATAAGAGTCTTCTCTCTCTCCCTCTGTATGTCACTTGCTACCCTTTTGTTTGCATCCCATTGGAAAATCTGCAATAATAGCACACAACATTGTGATTGCTTCAGCACTAGGAGGCCATTTAAGCTGCCTGATGCTGCCGGACATGGGCATTGAAAGGAAGATTGCTAGCATGTGGCCTACAGAAATTTCTTTCTGTAGGTTAGTACATTCGGTTTGTGACAAGTCCTTAAATCCTGAGGTTGGAGTTATCTCACAACTTTGCTTGGGATCCTCTGTTGAGCAGATACTTTTCCCTCACTGACTTTCATAGCTGCATTTCTTGAAGACATGGAATGACAGAAGAACCTCAATGTCAAATTCTCAGAGAAAAGACTGGGGACAAGCAAAAATGATTTATTTTTCCAAATTAAGGGTGCAGTCCTGAAGTTCAGTGTTTGGCACCAACCCCTGGTGAACAGAGAATGGGACTGCGTGGAGACCGGGCAGAAATACCTGCCGTGCCGAGCAGGGAAGGGACGGCCCCGCTGCTCGAGCAGGTTTGGAATGAAGAACGGGGCACTCCGGTCTCTGCACTGCAGTTAGCCACAAATCAGGCTGCCAATTCCCTACCGGCCTCGTACTGCTCGTCGCACACGCGCCTCGTTCTCCGTGACCCTTTTCCAAGTCCTGCTGGAGGCTCCGCTCTAAGAAACCGGGACTCATACGGACAATGCTTGATTCCCAAAGTGTTACTGAAAGTCTGTGAGCCTCTCCTTTTTCCTCACCAAAATACTAAAATATTAGCAGTGCTGCTGGTAATAGAAATGCGTAGTAGAATAGAATCCAGTGTTATTTTGCCTGTCTTGTGAATTGCTGCATTAGGAGAGTGTCCTGTATGAAGCAGTGTGGTCCTTTTCCCCTGCTGTCTGTTTGCAGGCCTGCCTTGCCTTCAGCTGTAGTTGTGTTCTTATTGCCGTATGAATAACGTCAGTCACTGGAAGGAAGTTTTTAAAGCAAATGTGCTCTGTGTCAATTAAGAATTATTTATCTACCAAAGCATATTATGCTGTATTAAATGTGATGTTTATCTACTGGATAACTAGTAGATGACTAAATGACCTCCCAAGATTCTTTCTAACCTGAATGATTCTACAGTTCAGTGATTTTATGCTGTAAATTAAAATTTACATATGAAATGTGTTTTTCATTTATAATTTAGATTGTATTTATTGTTAAGGAAACTATAAAAATAGAAAAGGATTAGCATCTTATCACAGTGATTAATATATTAACCCTTTAGTTCCGTATTTAAAATTGTCTCTCTTTGCACTAATGTGTGTTTTGTTATCAATATTAAGACGAAAAATTCAGGGTAATTAAGTATTAAAAATATGTATAAAAATTATATATAGCTTGACAGGATTTGCCGAAGAAGAGCAAACTTTAAACTGCTATGTATTTATGTATTACTGCCTGGTGCAGTGTGGATTACAAAAAAATAGCACTCCCTAAATAGAGGCTATGCCAGATGGCTTTCTCCATGTCACAACAGTGAATCACCTTGCAGTACATTCCCTTCATTGTGTCAGATGCCATCACAGTATATAAAAAAAAAATACATTCATTTAGTATAAACTTTGGCCAGGTCACGTGTAACTTTTTCCGTTATGCTGTTTTGCCAGTGGATGAATAGTAAGTCTGGGCTGGATCCTTTTGAGGAGCTGAGTGCATGTGTCTCTGCTCGGTTTCACTGAGTTCAGTGGGTCTGGGCTGAACCTTCCCAGCATGGCAGGGCCAGAACAACATTGGGGCTAGCCTGACGGTCCCCAAAAGTGTGACTGCATCGTGCTGGCCCTTTAATAACAATTAATCATGCAGTAAGTTAAATAACAGCTATTTATCTTCTGCTCTTTAATAGGCCGGTCACAGAGCGATGTGGGAATCGGGCAGTCCTAGCAAATGCTGCAGGCTCTCCCGACACAGAGGCTGGGTGATATGTAACCACCGACAGGCAGATGGCACCAGCTGGATATCTAATTTGTAGATAAATTGGGATTTGTTACTCTGAGGCAGTATTATCACATACCGTAATGGTGTTGTGGCCTGTAGAAATAACACAGCTGCTGGTGTTCTTCCCTTCGGAGGAGCTTTTAAATGTCACTGCAGAACAGTAACTGCCTGGATTTGGGCACAATAATTTGCCCCAGCAATCTGCTGACAATACTGCATGTGCAAAGCAACGTGTAACTCGCAGGGAGTTAACTCTGCAGTGATGGGCCAGGCGAAGCACCGGCCGCTCCGATGGAGATAACGCTGTGGTTTTCCTTCAGGAACCCAATTCATTGTGTGTAATCAAGGTCCAGCTTCTTGCAGATTTTCTTAGGAAAAAAATCATCCCGCTCCTACAAACCCCAAACCTCCTGCGACACCTCTCTGTGCACGATGAGCTGCCCCTTCCCCGCGACCCTTGTGCATCTCAAGCAGCAGCAGGATTTTAGACAGAGCGCGCCCCCAAACTCAAAGTGCAGAAACAGCCCAAGAGAGCCTGGTTGTATTTTCTAAAGAGTTGCAGGACGGTGCCTGTGGAACAGTGGCTGTCGGTGTGATGAGCAGATGCGTTTCTTGGTTTTAATTGTGCTTCTAGAATGTATCATTGCTGCCAGTTTGCTCAGTGCTCCAAATTTAACATGCCGCAAAATCCAAAATTATATTTTTATGCAAAATATTTCTGTGGTGTGAGTGCAGAGCTTCTGTTTTATTTCTGGAAAAAAGAAAGATTGAATAGTGAATAGCAGGAGAATGTGTTGGCTAAATGAATGAAAGAATTGTATGTGTTTTTTATACAATCTGAACAATGAAATAAAGATACTGTACCATAACAAATTGCAGCATGATCTTCCTTTTTAATATCTCGAGTTTTCTGTTGGCAGCAAGAGGTGCATGGTGCCTTGGGAGAGGCGCTTGTGATGATAGCACTGTAAGGAGCTGGGGTGCTGCTTGCTTTTCCAGTGCCACATAAATAACCGTAACTTTTGTTGGGGATTGGTAGAGACTCAGCTCATGCCCAAACTGAGTATTTTGTTTTCCAGCAAAACTATGTCACTGGGGCTTTACAAGGGTTTTGTTGTTGTTGTTGTTCCTTTGTTTTTTGATATTGTTATCAAAAATAAAACCCTGTGGGAGTAACCATACCAGTGTAAAAGTTCTGGTGCAATAGCTTATTCCATTAGTATTATAGCAATGAATTTTACAGCTCTTCTCTTACAGTAAAGTTAATCACAGCTTGCTAGGATTTTGTCAGCATAGTTGTGGTACTAAGCAGCCACTTTGTGGCATATTTATTAAACAACCTAAGGAAAGTGAATGTCGGGGTTAAAAACAGTGGGAGCAGAAAGGAAAGAAAAAGATGAGTCAGACAGGGTCCACACACGGGTGAAAACCTTTAAGCACCCAGCCATGATTCACTTTTTCTTGTGCTTTGCTATTTTGCTTTTGAGTCACTCGGGGAACTCTCTGTTGCTGCTGTCTGCAACACCCATATTGAGGAGGGGGTGGCAGAGGTAGGGGCTGTTTCGGCTTCAGCTCAGGAAGTTCAGCTTGTTCCTGCTGCAGCTGGACAGAGCTGAGCCAAGAGGGCAAGGAAAAGAAAGGGAAAAGCTGTTCCTGCCTTTCGTGCTGCTCCTGGATTGCCAGAGCACCCTTACCAGCCATTGCAAGGTTTGCCTGGTGCTGGCTGGTTAAACCTCCCCCTTGCTGCCCTTCTAAAAGATTAAAAAGAAATAATAAGGTGAGATGAAACTGGCAGAGTCTGATATATCAGAGACTTTCATTTTGTTTCCTGGGTTGGACAAGAGCACTGCGGTCTGTGTCAGAAAGCTCTAGGAAAGTTAAATTCGTTAAGAAATGAGAAAGTTGGAATAATAGCAGTCTGCAGCCAAGACACTTGTGGGTGGTGACATTTTGCTGGCTATTATTTTGTGATGCTTTGTGTGTTTGTGAAGGAGAGAGGCAAAAGAGGCCACAGAAGTAGAGAGAAGCCAGGGGGAAAGTCAGAGCCGGAAAAGCCGGGAAGCCGGAGGCGCAGGAAGACATGTGAGCTCCTCACCCGGAGAGCACAGTCCCATGGCAGGCGGGGGGCCCTGGATTGGACCTTCAATAGTCTTTGTCAAAAGAACAACAATTTTTAAAAGAGGATGTAATCTGAAAAGTGCCTGCACTCTTCCTGTTTGCCCCTTTATCGATAAAGCTGCTACACGGTGAATTTTGCTGCAGGTGGAAAGGCTTGTTCTTGTCTCCAGAGTTGCTCAGATCACCACGGGGGGAAGCGGCACTGCCCAGTCCCCCCTCTCCGGGTCTCCCCGTGCCGGAGATCCTGGATGACGATCCCCCGAGGTGCAGGGGGACACTGGGCACAGGAGTGATCAGTGTCACCGTTTCAGGGAGCAAAACTGCAGGAGGGACAGCAAAGGTGCTTTCCAAATGCTGCAAGTTCCTATCAGTTCCTGCTTAAGCTCTTTTCTATTAAAGGGAATTTCTTCCTCGCTGAAAGAAGGGAGTGAATAGCACAAAAAGCTTTTTTTTTTTTTTTTTTTGGTGGCGGGGGGAAGAAGGATGATTTTTTTTAGCACTCCTCTGCTGTCGTGATTTTTATGGCTGATAGGTACAGGGGAAAGGACATGGGGCAGAGCCTCCCCAGCCCTCCCGGTGGGCTGTGCAGAGCCTGGGCTGCCTCCAATGGAAAAGAGCGGCCAGGGCAAATGTGGCTCTGGAAAAGAAATGGTGAGGGAGCAGCAGGCTCGTCCTGAGGAGAAGCAGAGCTGGAAACTGCCCCGGCCGGGAGGCAGCTGCAGAGGAGGCAAAGCAGAAGCAGCCGCCTCTTGCCTGGCCTCCTGTGCGCCCCAGGCGCTGCGAAGCGCTTGGTGCAGAGCTGAAACTCGCAGGGCCACGGCAGCAAACCCCCACGGCCCAGGAACCTCTTTTTTCTCCTATGAGTGACCAGGTTTTGCAACCTGGCCATAGGGA